TGGCGTATCTTGTGAGGTATATACGGATCATCGCAGCCTTCAGCATTTGTTCAAACAGAAGGATCTTAATTTGAGGCAGCGGAGGTGGCTTGAGTTACTCAAGGATTATGATATTACCATTTTGTATCACCCGGGGAAGGCCAATGTGGTGGCCGATGCTTTGAGCCGGAAGGCGGTGAGTATGGGTAGTTTGGCGTACATTCCAGTTGGGGAGAGGCCCTTTGCAGTTGATGTCCAGGCTTTGGCCAATCGGATGGTGAGGTTAGATATTTCGGAGCCTAGTCGGGTGTTGGCTTGTGTGGTTTCTCGGTCTTCCTTGTATGACCGCATTAGAGAACGCCAGTATGATGATCCGCATTTGCTTGTACTTAAGGACAGGGTCCAGCATGGTGATGCCAGAGATGTGTCTATTGATGATGATGGCGTGTTGAGGATGCAGGGCCGGATTTGCGTGCCCAATGTGGATGGGCTTCGGGAGTTGATATTAGAGGAGGCCCACAGCTCGCGGTATTCCATTCATCCGGGTGCCGCGAAGATGTATCAGGATTTGATGCAGCACTACTGGTGGAGGAGAATGAAGAAAGATATTGTGAGTTATGTAGCTCGGTGTCTCAACTGTCAGCAGGTTAAGTATGAGCATCAGAGGCCCGGTGGTGTACTTCAGCGGATGGATATTCCAGAGTGGAAGTGGGAGAGGATTACTATGGATTTTGTGAGTGGTCTCCCTCGCACCTCGAGGAAGTTTGATTCGATTTGGGTGATTGTGGATCGGCTGACCAAGTCCGCGCACTTCATTCCGGTGTGTACTACCTATTCTTCGGAGCGGCTGGCAGGGATTTTCATCCAGGAGATTGTTCGGTTGCATGGGGTCCCAGTTTCTATCATCTCAGATAGGGGTACTCAGTTCACTTCCCAGTTTTGGAGGACTTTTCCGCAGGAGTTGGATACACAGGTGGAGTTGAGCGCAGCGTTTCATCCTCAGACGACGGGCAGTCCGAGCGTACCATCCAGATATTGGAGGACATGTTGCGTGCCTGTGTTATTGATTTTGGAGGTTCTTGGGCTGAGTTCTTGCCACTTGCAGAGTTTGCTTACAACAACAACTATCAATCCAGTATTCAGATGGCGCCGTATGAGGCCTTATATGGGAGACGGTGTAGATCTCCGGTTGGTTGGTTTGAGCCCGGCGAGGCTAGGCTATTGGGGACAGAGTTGGTCCAGGATGCCTTAGAGAAGGTGAAAGTGATCCAGGAGAGACTTCGTACAGCTCAGTCGCGTCAGAAGAGTTATGCGGACCGGAAGGTTCGAGATGTATCTTATATGGTGGGCGAGAAGGTCTTGTTGAAGGTTTCGCCCATGAAGGGCGTTATGAGGTTTGGGAAGAAAGGGAAGCTGAGTCCGCGGTTCATTGGGCCTTTGAGGTACTTAGGAGGATTGGGGAGGTGGCCTATATGCTTACTTTGCCACCCAGCTTGTCGGGGGTTCATCCGGTATTCCATATTTCTATGCTCCGGAAGTATGTTGGGGACCCGTCTCATGTGTTAGACTTCAGCACGGTTCAGTTGGATGATGACTTGACCTATGATGTGGAGCCAGTGGCTATTTTGGGTCGTCAGGTTCGAAAGTTAAGATCAAAAGGATATAGCTTCGGTGAAGGTGCAGTGGAGAGGTCGGCCCGTGGAGGAGGCTACCTGGGAGACCGAGCAGGAGATGCGGAGCAGATATCCTCACCTATTTGAGACGTCAGGTATGTTTCTTGACCCGCTCGAGGACGAGTGTTTGTTTAAGTTGGGGAGGATGTGACGACCTGACCCGTCGTCTCATGTGTTATCGCCTCGTTTTCCCCGTTTATTGCTTCTTCATGTTCCATTATCGGCATTTGGTGAGTTAGAGTCGAATTGGTTTGGTTTTGGTAGAAAGGGAGACATTTAGTCTCTTTAAGGAAGGCTTATATTGGAAAAGTCAACCGGATGTTGACTAATGAGTTAGAGGGCTCGGATGTGATTTCCGGTGATTCAGTTAGCTTCGGGGGATGATTTGTGACTTAGGAGTGTGATCGGAAGTGATTTTGGAGGTCCGGTGTAGAATTAGGCTTGAATTGGCGAAGTTAGCATTTTGGCGAATTCCGGTTGGTAGGTGAGATTTTGATCCGGGGCTCGGAATGGAATTTCGAGAGTTGCAGCGGCTTCGTTAGGTGATTTTGGATATGCGTGCAAACTTTCAGGTGATTCGGAGGTGATTTGGTTGGGTTTTTGATTGAATGTGAGTTTCGGAAGAATTTGAAGAACTTAGGCTTGAAATTGATGGGAAATGAGTATTTTTGTGTTGTTGGATGTGTTTTTAAGATTGGAACAAGTTTGAATAGGGTATTGGATCATGTCTGTGCTTTTGGTTGAGGTCCCGGGGGCCTCGGGGTGAGTTCGGATGGTTAAACGGGAGTTTTGGGAGTTTGCATATAGCTGAAGATTTGCTGCATCTGGTATTCTCGCTTCTGCGGGTCTTGAACCGCAGAAGCGGAGGTGCTTAAGCGGGGGAGTCACCGCAGAAGCGGTCCATGGGTTGGTAAGGTAGATCCGCAGAAGCGGACCATTCTTCGCATCAGCGGGTCCGCAGAAGCAGACTGGTAGTCGCAGAAGCGGTGTTGACCTTGAGAGGAAGTTCCGCAGAAGCGGAAATATAGCCGCAGAAGCGGTTTGGCATTTCTAAATGAATATCCGCAAAAGCGGGATTTTGGCCGCAGAAGCGGTCCCGCATAAGCGAAAGCGGGACCGCAGAAGCGAATATTGGTCTGGTTAAAAGGGTTTTTATTGAATATCTCATCCGCGAGCTTGGGATATTTTCCACCATTGTTGGGCGACCTTAAGAGCTTTTGGCGAGAATTAAAGGGAGTTTTGACTGGGAATCGATTGGAGGTAAGTCCCTTAGCCTAAATACATGAGAATATGATAAATTTAACATAGAAATTGGTTGAAATTCATCAAAAGGGGGTAAAGTTAGGGCTTGAGAATTGGTAATTTAAAAATGGAAATTGAAGGGTCAAATGGACTCCGATTTTGGTAAATTTGATATGCATGGACTCGTGGCGAGACGAGGAATCCGATGATGTGAATTTTATAATTTTTCGAGAAGTGGACCAGGGCTCGAGTTTTGCCAACTTCGTGATTTTCGATGTTTTTCGAGTCTTTTCGATTGGGTTATATTCCCTTAGCCTATTGGAATGTATTCCTTGTGGTTTTGATCAGATTTGACGCGCGAGGAGGTCAATTCGAGAGGAAAAGGCATAGCGAGCTAGACTTTGGGCCGGCTTGAGGTGAGTAATAGGTGTAAATGATGAACTGAGGGTTTGAAACCCCGGAATTTCACGCTATATTAAGGCGAGGCGCGCGCTCTATGACGAGTGCGGGGTCGTTTGTTATTGGGGATTGTGACATGGTCCGTCCCGGTGATGTTTTACCATGTTTTTCTACTAGAACTTGTTGGAAATCATCGTTACATGGATTTGACTATTGTATTTGGGCTTCGTGCCGGCTATTCGAATCCTTCAGGGATTGATATCACTGATTTTGCATACTTTGCATATTGTTTAACCTCATTCCAAGGTTTTAAGTACTATTTTGCAAACTCAGCCCCTCTTCTCAGATTTGAAAACTTAAATGACATTTTAAATGATATTTTGGGCTGTGAATTACTGATTTAAAATGCCCAAGAGGCTTATAGTGATTTCTGGATACATGGTTGGCTCGGGCTGCACGCCGCAGCAGTACTATATTGATATTGAGGCCGAGGGCCTGGTTGGTGCCACGAGATGGCTCGATTATTTGCGCTTGGGCTGTAGGAGCCCCTCCGGAGTCTGTACACACCCCCAGTGAGCACCCTCGACGATAAACATATATGGTTGGCTCGGACTGCACGCCGCAGTGGGTACCTGAGTGTACCGGCATATGCATTGCATTGAATTCATGCATTATTACTTACCTGTTTTACCAGGCATGGTTCTTTCTGTACTATTATTTCATTGACTTGTTAGTTTTACTGTTAAAGGTTTGGTACTGCCAGTTATAGTTGCCTTGTGTTTTTCAGTGATTTCTTATCTTCAGCCATTATTTATGTTTATTACTCATTGAGTCGGAGTACTCACTTTACTCCCTGCACCTTGTGTGCAGATCTAGGTGCATCACAGGCTGAGTGAGGATTATCTAGCAGCACAGCAGCATCGGGGAGCATTGAGGTAGCTGCATGGCGCTCGCAGCCTTCGTCTCCCCCTCCTATCTTTATTCTCTTTTATTCCGCATTTTATCCTAGACAAAATGTATTAGGTGGAAACTCTGTATTAGAGGCTCATGTTCGTGACACCGGGTCCTAGTTTGGTATTTATGTTTTCAGTATTTTGTTAAACTTCCGCGTATTGTTCAACATTTCTAAACTTTTGATAAAAATGGCTTAGTTATTAATATCTGTGCTTTTAAGTTATGAACCATCCAATGTAGAAAATATGGTTGAAAGGTCGGGCTTGCCTAGCAATGTGTTGGACGCCATCACGACCGGGGATTGGGTCGTGACACGTGTCGAAGACACTGTCCTTAAGGATATTTCGCCTACACCGTAATAAACAAAATTAGGCGTATCCCCCAGGATTCAACAAGTTATTCTAGTATAAACTAGGAGCAGAAACAACAAAGATTAACAAAGACAGCCCAGCACAATAGAAGAAAAGTTTTACTTTCTTCCACTCTTTCACATCTTTTTTAAATTGAACACAATATATATATATAGTCCAAAGTGGACATATGATTGTCAAGAAAGAATCGTTACTAAATCAAAGCCAAGAAACGTTACATATTTAAAAGCCATTAAGCTTGGAACGTTATCAGATAGATAGATTCAAAATACTAATTGATTTTGATAGTCATAATAATAATAAATAATAATAATAATAATAATAATAATAATAGCCATTTAAAGCTAATAAATATTATATTCAAAGCTATTCAAATTTACTATTAAACACATTAAATATATTCAAATTAATAGTATAATAAAGATCCATTAATATAATATAACAAGAATGAACCTAGACAACAATTTGAATATCTCTTTTTGAGTTACCAAATTATTTTTCAAACAGAACCTACAATAATATGTTTGCATTTACTTCACTTGGAGTAAATTATGATAGAGAATTAGCCAAGAGAAACCGTGGCATCTATACATTTAGAGTCCAGGGACAAATATGTACCACTTCATCGATGATTTGGTACCTTCAGGAGCAACAGGAAAAAATTTACAGTTATATTTCTACGACAATGAAAATGAGCTAAAAAATCGAATGGCCTTATGGAATAAAATTAATGAAACAGTTATCAGGAAACTCATGGATATACTAAAGGTCAATCCTTATTCCGCTTTTCTGAGATCATTAACATATGTTCCAAATTTATCTGAATTTTACATTGCACTTAAATCAAATTCTAGCTTAGACCAACGAACATATAATTTACCAACAGCATCTAAAGTTGGTGCAATATAGATAGAAGACCAAACAAATGATAGAATTTCCACACCACATATTCGGATATACACTCACAGTAATAAAAGCCAGTTGGTAAATTATTATTATGGATGTTATGATCCATTACAATACCTATTGTTATTCCCATATGGTCAAAATGGATGGCATTGTGGTATTAAAAAAATTAAAAAAACATATAATTATTCAAATTAATTACCAAGTATACTGTGAATGTGAACAACTGCCAAGCATAAGGAACATGACTTCAACCGATGGGCTGCTTGATATGGAATCTGAAGTTTTATCAAAAGGAAAAAAGAAAAGAGAAATGGTTTCTTGCCATGAATATTATTGTTACAAAATTCAAATAAGAGACAATGAACCGAATGAAACTTTACATCCTGGAAGGGTATTTCAACAGTACATTGTTGACCAATATATAAAACTTTGAGACACAAATATTAGATTTTATTTTATTTAATCAACATTTATTTTATTTTATTTAATCAAGATTAATTCTATCTCTAACCCAAGTTTTGTCAAATCCCATTAACTGCAGCAAGGTAACAATCTTACAGAGTAAATGAAGTTGACTTACTAACAACACAAGTTCATTAAGGGATTTGCTTGAAGTGGGATTTTGTAACGACCCGACCGGTCGTTTTGAGCTTTTGCACTTTGATCGCTAGTTCCCGGGCATGACTTGCCCCTTGTAATGTATTATGACTGATGTAGATCGTTGGTTTTGGTTTTCAGGAATATCGGGATAAATTTGAAGGAACAATCTCAGTTGAAAGCTTTGAATTGGAAAGGTTTGACCAAGGGTTGACTTATTAGCATGTGAGCTCGGATCAGGATTTTTATGATTTGGTTAGCATCGTGGGGTGATTTATGACTTAGGCGCGCGATCGGAATGCATTTTGGAAGTCCGTGGAAGGATTTGGCTTGAATTGGCAAAGTTAGTATTTTGACGAATTTCGGTTGATAGGTGAGATTTTGATCCGAGAGTCGGAATGGAATTTCGAGAGTTGCTGTAGCTTCGTTATGTGATTTGGGATGTGTGTGCAAAATTTCAGATCATTTGGACGTGGTTTGGTTGGGTTTTTTATCGAAAGCGTATTTGGGAAGTTTGAGTTTCGGGTAATTTGATGTTGTTTGAGGTGTTTTGATGATTGGAACAAGTTTGAATGAGGTTTTAGGATATGTTGGTGTCTTTGGTTGAGGTCCCGGGGGCCTCGGGGTGATTTCGGATGGCTAACGGGAAGTTTGGAACTTGGAAAAGATAGCAGAAAATGCAGCAGCAGTGCAGGCCTAATTTCGCCTTCGCGTTCGTGTGCCTGGGGCCGCGTTCGCGTAGCAGGAGTTTGGCGGGCCAGGTTTTGCTCTTCGCGTTCGCGTTAGGGTGTTCGCGTTCGCGGAGGGTGAGTTTCTTGAGCTTCGCGTTTGCGGGGAGTTATTCGCGTTCGCATAGGAGGGTCTGGAGTTCCATTTGTTTTGTTCATCGCGTTAGCAGCCTAGGTGGTCGCGTTCGCGTAGTTGAAGCTGTGGAAGCATCGCGTTCGCGGGTGTTCAGACGCGTTCGCATAGGGTGATTTTTGGCCAAGGGATTATTTGTGCATCGCGAACGCGAGAAGGCCCTCGCGTTCGCATAGAAGGAAATCATAGCTGGGCAGAAGGGTTTTTAAAACATGTCATCCGCGAGCCTAAGTCATTTTTCCACCATTGTTGAACATTTTGAGAGCTCTTTGGGAGAAATTGAAGAGGGATTCGAAGAGGATTGATTGGAGGTAAGTTTTATGAACCAAAAACGTGATTTTATTGTGAAATTAACCTAGAAATTCATGGAAATTTAGCAAAAAATGGAAGAACTAGGGCTTGGGATTTTGAGATTTTGAATTGGGATTTGAAGGGCCATTTGAGGTCGGATTTGAGAGTTTTGATATGTATGGACTCGTGGAAGGATAAGGAACCCGTTGATGTGAAAATTTCTGAGTTTCGAGAAGTGGGCCCGGGGCTCGGGTTTTGCCAATTTCGGGATTTTTGATATTTTTCGATTGTTTTCGGTTGGGTTTTGTCCCCTTAGCATATTGTGACATATTCGTTCTGGTTTTGGTCAGATTCGACGCGCGAAGAGGCCGATTTGAGGGGCACAGGCGTCGCGAGCTAGAGAATTCGCCGGTTCGAGGTGAGTAATGATTGTAAATGATATTCTGAGGGTTTGAAACCCCGTATTTGCACATCGTAGTGCTATATTGAGGTGACTTGCACGCCGGATAGCGAGCGTGGGGTAGAGCACCGTTGGGGATTGTGACTTGGTCCGTCCCGATAGATGAATTTATTGCGTGTTTGACTGAAATTTACTTGTTCATCATAATTTGGGTTGATTGCCATATTTAGGTTTCGTGCCAGCTATTTGAACCCTTCGGGGATTGTTGTTAATATTTTCTCACTGTTTTGATTTTATACCTGAACTCAGTCATGTATTTTCCACTGTTTTTAAGACTCGGCCAAGTTTATTTTGCTTTAACACTTAAAATGATATTTCCAATAATATTTGGGCTGAGCATCATGTTTTACTGTTGCCCTAGTGGCTTATGTGATTTTTGACTGAGTAAGGCCGAGGGCCTGTATTGTGAGGATACTTTTGGATCGGGCTGCACGCCGCAGCAGTGAGATACTGATTTGATATGAGGCCGAGGGCCTAGATTTGATGCCACGAGATGGCTTGATATTGCGCTTGGGCAGTAAGGGGCCCCTCCCGGAGTCTGCACACCCCCAGTGAGCGCCGTCAACGATAAATGGATCGGGCTGCACGCCGCAGCGATATATGGATCGGGTTGCACGCCACAGCGGTACTGGTACTGTTCTATATGTTTACTTTATTTCATTTGTCTGCCATTATCTGTTGTTTGTGCTATTTCATGCAATACCTACCTGATTGCCTGACATTATCTGAAAACTGAGTGTTGTGCCCGAGGGGCGAATTACTGTGCTTATCTGCACTATTGTTCGCATTCACTGTTTTCTAAAAAGGGTTTTACACTGCTCTCTACAGCATGACGGTTTGTTTTACGTGATTTCTTACTGCTCAGTAATTATTTACCTTTATTACTCACTGAGTTGGAGTACTCACTTTACTCCCTGCACCTCGTGTGCAGATGCAGGTATTTATTCACCCGGTAGCGGGTTTTGGCTGACTGGAGGCAGAGCTATAGGAGTTTAGCGAGGTGACTGCTAGCGTTCGCAGCACCGCTTCTCTCTCTGTTGTTCATTATTCCTGTTCAGTGTATTTTTAAACCTTGTAGTTGTATTTACACTCTTATAGATGCTCGTGACTTGTGACACCCCGATTAGGGCTGTGTTGGGTTGTACTTCCGCTAATTAATATTATTAAATTATATTTAGACTGCTTATTCATGTTTAACTATTTTTGAAAAGGTTATATGGGTTAGTAGGCTGGCCTTGTCTTCACGAGAGGTGCCATCACGACCACAGCGAGGATTTGGGTCGTGACAGATTTCACATTATCTGAAGTGAAAATTTTAGTATTCTAAAATCCTACCATACCAGTCATCTTTTCATATATGTGCGCTTGGGTAAAATATTGCCATACTAAATAATATACATTCCAACATAAGAGATTAAAAAATGAAGAAGAACTACCCAAGTAAGTCAAATATGGCATTAAGTAATAGTATAACAGAGAAACTAATGGAGGAGCCAAAGGAAAATGTCCTACTACTACCACAAATGACATATCCAGCTTATGACAAGATGAACAGCATGCCTTAGGTTTTCATTGAATAAAGTATTAGTGAACCATACCTTCAATTGTAAGATTAAACACTTTGACAGCAGCTGCTAAAAAATTCTCTTTCCGGTGTGATCCCAGTTGCACCAGCAACAAATAATTTCTTCTTTTGACTGAATAACCTAGTTAGGACACAGAAATACATTACTAAAATTCAAAACTTGAAAGCAACCTCCACAGTCCTTTCAATATCAGTAAGGGAACCAAGAACTGAAATTGGATCTTAATTTCCCATTTAGGACCTTTTGGATCTACTGTCGTTGTAAAGCTAAGTTTCTCAAATCAGAGATAGTACAACACATTAATCAATAACAAATGCGAGTAATAAATCCATAAAAATACATATAAATTAAACCCATTAATTTAATTGGAAGAAATTAATAGAGTTGAGAAATGCAAAAACTAGGGCTGTCGGCGTAAGAGCCAATACACCAGTCTTCTGATTCTCTGCTATGTTTTCTCTACGGCACTGGTGAGAGCAGTCGTCTCACTCCCTCATACGTACATGAAAAATTATAGTACAAAACAGAATGAAGAAAATATTTGTTCTGCAGCGCGAGCTGAAGCACAAATCAAGATTCCTACCCGCAATAGCTATGAAGAAACATAGATTCATAGAACAACAAACTAATGAAAACATATTAACTTACCGGAGTATGTTGACGGGAGATTGCCGACGAATTGGGGAGTTCTGGGAGTCTTTGATTTGGGGAAATAGCTAACCTTTGGGAGTATTTGATTTGGGAAAAACCTAAGCCGTAAGAAGAGTGTTTCTTTTTCTATTATTGTTAAGTTAAATTTCACAAAAAAAGGTGCTTAAATTTTCTGAAAATTGTAACTTTGCGCTAAAATTTAGTGCGAGATTAGCTGGAAAGGCTCAATTTTTTTGTTTAATTTTTTTCAAAAGATTTTTGTTATTTAATATATGAAGAAAAATAAAAAATTATAAAAAAACATATTATTTCTAAATTTAACAAAATTACCAAATTGTGGGGGTTAGTAACCGCCGCAAATTGTAGATATTGTTGCGATTCGCAAACCTCCACAACAAAAACGCCACAAAAAACAATTATTTTGTGGGAGCTAAAATAAATGTCACAAAATATATTAATAGTGGGGGTTTCTAAACCCACACAAATAAACCGTCCCAAATTGAGCCTTTTTTTGTAGTGCACAAAGATTTGAATTTATTTTATTTAATTAAGATTTATTCAGAGTTGAAGTACTACAAGGGATTATTGATCTTTTAAGACAAGGAGAAAGAGATGCTTCACATATTGGAAAAAAACATTTCTTCCTGGTAGTTTTATAGGAGGTCCAAGAGATATGCGTCGGAGATATATGGATGCTATTGCATTGGTACAACGTTTTGGAAAGCTCGACATATTTTTAACAATGACTTGCAATCCTTCTTGGCCTGAAATACAAGAACATTTATTGCCAACGGATGATGTACAAATTAGACCAGATTTAATAAGAAGAGTATTTAGAGCAAATGTAGAGGAGCTTAAAACAGATATTCAGAAAAGGAATATTTTTGGAAAGGTTGCAGCTTTTATGTATACTATCGAGTTTCAGAAACGCGGTCTTCCGCATGCTCATCTCCTTATTATACTCAAAGATAGATACAAATTACTCACTCTAGAAGCTTATGATAAAATTGTTGGTGCTGAATTACCCGATCGCAACACGGACCATGATCTATATAAACTTGTAATAAAACACATGATTCATGGACCTTGTGATTATTTAAATCCTACAAATTCTTGCATGGAAAAGAAGGGAAAATGTAAGTTTAAATATCCAAAAGAAATTATTGAACAAACAACAAAAAGGAAAAAACTCATATCCACTTTACCGAAGACGAAAAATAACACCAATCCAAGTTAAAGGACGCATAATTGATAATTCTTGGGTTGCTCCATACAATCCATATTTACTCTGTAAGTTCAATTGTCATATCAATGTTGAAATATGTTCTGATATAAAAGTTGTCAAATATATTTACAAATATATTTGTAAAGGACATGACAAAATTGCTTTTTCTGTGCATGGTAATGATACAAATGTAGAAATAAATGAAATTAAAGAATACCAATCCGTAAGATGGGTTTCCCACCAGAGGCCGCATGACGTTTGTTTAGATTTTCCATAAGTGAAATGGCTCCAACTGTTTGCCAACTTCAGCTAAATCTTGAAGGACAACAATTTATATCTTTCAAAAGTAACCAAAGTGTGAATCAAATAATAAACAATCCAATGGTTAACAAAACAATGTTAACTGAGTTTTTTACAATGAACAGGACTAACAAAGATGCTATAAATCTCAATTTACTGTATAAAGAGTTTCCTGAATATTTTGTGTGGTCATCAACTGACAAAATGTGGTCACGTCGAAAATAACGTCCAGCTATTGGACGTATTGTAACATGTCATCCGACAGAAGGAGAAAGATATTATCTTAGGTTATTTCTAATGAACGTAAGAGGACCCAAATCATATGAAGATCTTCTTAAAGTGAATGGGAAATGTTGCAGTACACTTAGAAGCTGCGGAAAAAAGGAGCTTATTACATTCTGATAACAGTTTAATTGAGTGTATGTCCGAAGCAGTGACCTATCAAATGCCTTGCAATGAGACGCTTATTTACGACATTATTAGTTTACTGTAGTCCTGCTAATCCAAAAGAACATTGGGAAAAGTTTAAAGATTCTATGTCAAAAGATTAGAAAAATTCCAAATATGGGAAAAAAAGATATCCAGTATTCAGTTATAAATCACATCAACGAAATTTTACTTTCAATGGGGCATAACATAAGTCAATTCAAATTTATTTCCGAGAATATTACACCTTCAAGAATAATAACTGAGGCAAAAGATGTTCATTTGATCTCTATAATATTAAGTCTGTTGATACCATTATTGCCAAAAAAAAAATAAAAAAAAAAAAGATGGACCCAAGGAATAACATTAGATGGGTAAAAAGAGAAAATAATGAAAATCATATTCAAAACTTTTTTTTGAGATTTTGTAAAATGGGAAGAAAAGTATATTTAATATACTATAGAATGGGATTCGATCGATCTTGCACCCTAAGGCTGGGGGTTTACAAGTTTAACCATGGTATCCGAACGGCATAGCATAGACCAAAAGTTTAACCCCTCCCTCATTTTCACCTTCCCCCTCTTCACTCATTTCTAAAATGAATTGGCAATGGATTTGAACTCTTAATAAAGTTATATTAAGTGATATATTAGTGGAAGCCAAAATATTTTGAAAGATACCAAAAAAATACTCCTACAAAGAATATCATATAAACGAAGTGAAAAATCAATTTAAAGTAAAAGAAAAAATAATACTTCCCTTGTTTGCAACATCTATTTTAACGTACATTATTGTCCATACTATTACATGGTCGAAGGAGGAGGGAGAAAAGTGGAACCAAAAGAAGTTCAACTCCGATTTTTGTCCACATATCTATTTCTATTACATGATGAGAGAAGGAGAAAGGACATTAAACATCAAATTTACATTTATTGAACGGAAAAATTTCACCGATTACAAAGATTATTCTCTCCTTTCTGTCGGTGGCCAAAGATTAGTGGATATCTTAATATACACACATACATACATACATACATATATACATATATATATATATATATATATATATATATATATATATATATATATATATATATATATATATATATATATACATATATATATACACACACATACATATATTTTTAAAAACATATGCCTCGATGGGCAACATCATCATCATATCGTACCCAACCATAATAGGCTCGGTAAAAACGCACCTGGCCCTCACAAGGCTTGGTATAATCGTACCCGCCGACATGGAGCTTGGTAAAATCCAACTGATCAGTAGTTGCACAATAGGTGTTGTACCCGGTTGACTATAGCGCAGCTTGATAAGTGTGGATTTTGACCACTTATTAGTACCTTCTTGATTTAGTTTTAGTCCGAAAGTGTTGATTTGTGTTCCTAAAATGAATGAAAGTGTGCAAATTGCAGGAATGTTGGAGATTTAGACCCTAATGAAGAAATCCAACTCAAAAAGGAGTGTTCCGGCTCACAAGGAGAGAAGGGGCACAACAGACCAAAAGTGCGGTCCGTAGAAGTATGTCTGCGACTGCAGAAGAAAACGCGGACCGCAAAAGTCTCTCTACGGCCGCAGATCTATTATTGAAGCTCGAGGGTGGAATGAAGAGAAGTGCGTACCGTACACAATTCGGGCGGCCGTAGAACATGGTCGCACTAACAAGAATTCAGAAAGTTCAGATAGTGTGCAAAATGACCAAGACTGAAGCCTTGCCTGAAGTGCGGACAGTACATGGAATTGTACGGCCGCAGAAGACGAAGTGCAACCGCAAATCAAATTATGCAGCTGCAGAATCTCTCAACCTGCAGACTCAAGCAAAGAGCGGAATGCACATGGAATTATGCGGCCGCAAAACATCCCGAAGGGCATTTTGGTCATCGAATTTTGGGCCACTATAAATAGATAATCACTTTTTTAAGTCAAGTTTTTGATGTTTTTAAGCTGTGCCGTTGTATTTTACCATTTTGGGTAATTTGTGATCATTTTGGGAAAAAACATCATAGTTTATCATTTTAATTTTATATTACGACTTTAATTAATATTTCNATCATCATAAACTCTAATTGTTAAATGTTGAGTGGATATGTCTTCAACTATGAACTCAAAGTGCTCATTCTAGATCGGATTTAAACAGTTATCCTTAACAAAGGAAACAAAATCTGGCGTTATACATTCCTCATCAGGAGATAAATAAATTAAGAAGGACAATAAAAGGATCAGACTTCCCAATGATGTCTTTATTAGTCAACTCTTTGGCTTCGATGAGCTTGACTTGTAATATACCAACTGGCTTTAGCTCCAGGTTACTGCAAGTAACGTTAGACCTAGACAGTAGACAGACAGAGTACTGGAAAGTGGAAACTAAAGTCAAGGGTTTTTGTCTTTTTGTATATTTAATATATAAATCAAAATAAAATTTAAATATATATATATATATATATATATATATATATATATTCTTAACGGGTTAACGGATTATCCGTTAAGAAAATTGAATAATCAGCCCCCAAACCGATAAGCCGTTAATAAAAAAAATCTCAATCCGTTCCCCGTTCGTTAAGCTGTTAATCCGTTACCAGTAAGCCATTAAGCTTCGGCTTGGTTCGATTTTCGGTTTCGGATTGGTTTTGAACATCCCTAGGCATGTCTTGTTAGTTCTATTTTTAGAGAATGCTTATTATACAATCTTCATAATGCCTCCGAATATCTCTTAATATTTTCCTTATATTTTCTTAGCAATATAATTGTGAATATTTAACTTCAACATATCTGGTATTTCCGTTTTCTTCATGCTTTCTTAGTATATTTTGTACATGCATACTGTTAGTCCAAACTCTTCTACAGAAGCACATAGAATTTAACATCAAGAAAGAAAATTGTAATGAAAAGGGAGCTAAGGTGTTTGACGATATGCCTAAAAAGTACTGAATAATATTTGTTTTCTCCATTCCTTTTTTCGGGTATTCTATAATTTAATCTATCATCCAACACCCAAAGATGCATCACTTACTTCCACTAGACAGAGTTATTAACAATATATTATGCAATATATACCATTTTGTCTATTGCAATATTGCTACTGTGAATATATCCAAATAAACATTATTCAAACTGGCATGAAGTTCCTTATTCATGGCTATCACTCTGCTGCATTGCAAGTATTCATGGTTGAATTCATTAGTCGTTGCACCTTTGATCTGTTTAAAACCCTCTTAAAGGGCTTCATTATAGTTATATTGGCTCAAACGGAAGGGAAACAACATTTCTTGATCCTTTCATATTTATGTCAAAATAATATTGTGCTTGAACAAAATCCATTTGTATTCCTCTGGAATTTTGGTGAGTACAAGTAGTTAGCTATTTTTAAGTTTAAAATGGAAAGTTGGATTAATGTTGAAAAAACAATTACAAATGAATTATAATTCTAGTTTTGCATCTTGGAAAAAAGTTCATTTACATTACCCTCACCTGCATGTCTGTTGTCCAACATCCCATTTGTATTATCTCATAACAACAAGCTCATTGATTATAGCTAAAAATAAACTTTGACATCATATCATTTCTGGAGATGACACTAATTAAGCAATTACTTAGGCACATTTATTTTTTAGAGTGAAATTTTTTCAACATGCTCAAGGGGTCATAAAAGATAATGGATATTGCACTGAAAATGCTATATTAGTTTGAAAAGAAGACCTTCATCTTAGAGGTGATTAGCACTAAATTAATTTTCTGTGTACTATTAGCCTTGTGAAACCAGCATAATGTAATTATCTAATCTTCTCCATAAGATTGTTTAGAAGACTTTATGACCATAATACGAATCTCCTTGGAAGCCACCATTAGAAAAACATTACCCTTTTCTATCCCCTTGTTCTACTTACTCGTGTACCTTATTAAGTATTTTAGGCAATAACATGTGATATTTCTTCCAACATGATTTGTAGTTTAAGGTAAAAATTGCAACATGAACTTCTCCTTTGGTAGCGCCATGGTAAAAATGTCCGCAACTTGATCCTCGGACTTGCAAAACTTTGGCTCGATCACTCCTTCTTCAACTTTTTCTCTGATGAAGTGATACTTCACTGCTATGTGCCTTGTTCTGCTGCTGTAAATTGGATTCTTTGCCATTGGTATGGTTGACTTGTTGTCACAAAATAACTTTGTTGCCTTGTCTTGCTTTTCTCCAACATTTTCTAAAATTCTTCTAAGCCAGACTTCTTGAGAAGTTGCAATTGCTGCTGAAATATATTCAGCTTCTGCTGATGATTGTGCTACTATTTCTTGCTTCTTTGATTTCCAAGAAAATGCTCCCGATCCAAGTGAAAACATAAAACCAAATGTGCTTTTCATGTCATCTTTTGAACCTGCCCAATCACTGTCACAAAATCCAATTAAAGTTAATTCTTCACCCTTGAAATATAGTTGCATGAAGCATAAATGTCAGCAAGGTCTCTCATTTTAACCGGAGTACTTGTTGGACTCGAAATGCTAGAGCTTGCTTCGTTGCTTGAAGGTGAGGAAGGATCAGCTTCTGGAACTTCTTCCTCCTTATTTTCTTCTTCATTCTCAGCCACCACCATGTTTTTTGTAGCCTCATTCTTTTCCCAATTCCAACTGGCTCCTTCATCAGACAACACATCTTTGCTTGTGATGACATTTTTCCTCTTCAAGCTATACATTCTATAGCCCTTTGACTTTGAGCTATAGCCAACAAAAATGCACTTCTCACTTGTTTCATCAAGCTTGCTCCTCTTTTCTTTCGGGATTTGAGCATAGCAAATGCACCCAAAAACTTTCAAGTGCTTCACTGAAGGTTTCCTCTTACTCCAAGCTTTCAAGGGGGTCTTATTTTGCACTGCCTTGGTCGGACACCTGTTTATCAAGTATACCGCCGTATACACTGCTTCAGCCCAAAAAGTAATTGGCATTCCTTTCTCTTTCAACATAGTTTTTGCCATTTCAACAACCGTTTGATTTTTTCTTTCGGATACACCATTTTGTTGTGTTGTGTACCCAACGGTTAGTTGCCTTTCAATGCCTTCATCTTCACAAAAATTTTCAAATTGTTTTGAGGTATATTCTTTACCTCGATCACTTCTTAGCACCTTTATATATTTCCACTTTGTTTTTCCACAAGGCTCTTGAATTTTTTAAAAATGCCATACACCTTGGATTTTTGTTTCATAAAATAAACCTAAGTCATCCGTGTATAGTCATCAATGAACAAGATAAAATACTTGTTACATCCAAGAGATGTGGTACTCATTGGACCGCACACATCGGTATGGACCAGCGCTCCAAAGCTTTGTTTGCTCTCCAAGCTTCGCCTTGAAGGAATGAGTTTCTATGGTGTTTTCCCATAGCACATCCTTCACAGACTCCATCCTTTTCTTCAATTTTTGGCAGCCCATATACTATCTTTTTTTCCTGCAATAATTTTATTTCATTAAAGTACAAGTGCCTAGTGTCACGACTCGGATTTCCCACCCTCGGGAGTCGTGATGGCGCCTACTATTAGGAGCTAGGCAAGCCAACTATTTATTATCTCTTTTAGCAAACCTCGACATTAATAAAAACAACGAAACATTTAATATAAAAGCGGAAGTCTTAAATATAAATAACAGAAAACAATGCTGAAGTTCAATACAACTCTACCCAAGAACTGAAGTCACAAACTCACGAACGTCTAGAGAATGCTAAATACAGTGTCTGAATAAAAACATAATTCTGTTTGTTCCGATACAAAGGATAACAAACTAAAGTAAAGATAGAAGAGACTCCGGGCCATGCGGACGCCAGCAAGGCTACCTCGGGATCTCTGGATTGAAGTCAGCTCCCAAAACTCCTACTGCTTTCCAAAAGTTGCTCCGGCACCGTGATCTGTACAAAAAGATGCACAGAGTGTAGCATCAGCACAACTGACCCCATGTGCTGGTAAGTGCCTGGCCTAACCCCGGTGAAGTAGTGACGAGGCTAGACCGGACTACCAAACAAACCTGTGCAGTTCAATATATATGTGTGCAATATAAAGGTATACAGAAATTAACCAGTCAAGGGGGAGGGGGAGCATGCTGTAGGGGCTGTAACAATTCAGGTATAAAATCAATAATTGAGGGATGAAACAGTACAACTACAATAGCAACGATAGTAGGAAATAAACAGTTGTACGGCACCATCCTTCGTGCTTTTACTCTCATTCTCACCCAAACAATCATATAAAGTGCACGGCATCACCCTTTGTGCTTTACCTCACAAAATGATGGCACGGAATGTCCCTTCGTGCATAAACACTCATATCATGGCACGGAATGTTCCTTCGTGCATTAGTAATCAAATCAGGGCATCGAATGTTCCTTCGTTCATTAATAATCAAAACAGGGCACCGAATGTTCCTTCGTGCATTAGTATTCATATCACAATCGTGCATGACATCACTCTTCGTGCTTTATCACTCGTCCTCACCCAAACAACAACCACAAACAATGGGGCGAGGGGATAGACAAACAGTAATAGAAGTCCCGGCAAGGGAAGCACAAGTAAACAATTAAATTCGGCAAGGGAACAACAATAATAACTTTCACATCCCGGCAAGGGAGGTAATCAATATACGAATACGGCCCGGCAAGGAAATAATCACATTTCTTTCTCTTTCTTTCTTTTCTTACTCAATAATTACTTTATCATTCGAGCCAACGCTCCAAAGAGTTCACAAATCATAATTCTTTCTCATACTCTTCACATTATATAGAGTTCATCAATTACACGAGGAAGAGTCACAACAAAATAGGAATAAACACAATATACGGACTCACGGTCATGCTAGACACCAGTGTATAGATACTCGTCACCATGCCTATACACCGTACTCGGTCAATTAGCAGATAGCAAACAAGACTCAACTCCTATTCCCTCAAGCTAGGGTTAAACCAAACACTTACCTCAACTTCCACAGCTAAATCAATCCACAACGACCGCCTTCCCTCTCAAATTCGGCTCCAACTCAATCAAATCTATAAAATAACGACTTTACAACATTAATATAAGCTAAACAAATCAAACCCAATGCCTAAATATAGTTTTCTAAGCTTTCTTCCCAAAATTCCAAAAATTGACCCCGGGCCCGCTTGGTCAAAACCCGAGGTTCGAACCAATTTCATATCACCCATTCCCCCACGAGCCCGGATATACAATTTATTTTCAAATTCGACCCCAAAACGAGGTCTAAATCAAAGAAAATTGAAAAGCTCTAACTCTATCCACTTTCCCCCAATTCAACCCTAGATTACATGATTTGAGCCTAAGAATTTGATAAATGATGAAGGAAACAAGTTAAATAATACTTACCCAAGAAGCTTTGGTGAAGAAGAGCTCTAGAAATCGCCTATGGGCTGTGGAGAAGATGAGTTCTTGTGTTTTTGGGTGAAAAATCCCGTCACTATTCTGTTTTGAGTATTTAAAATCACTGGGCAAAATTGCCCTTCGCGTTCGCGAAGGGTTATCAGAAAGGGCATCGCAAACGCGGACGGTAAGACGCGAACGCGTAGAAGGAAAAAGGCTGGGGTCCTGGGATTGGTTTACGCGAACGCGTGGACCCTAACGCGAACGCGGGGAAGAAAACAGCAGAGCTTCGCGATCGCGGTGG